TCATAGATGAGGAAATGGGCCCAGAAAGGTGGATTGACTTTCCAAAGCCTAACACTTGCTAATAATCGAGCTGGTACAATTGGAAATAGAACCATTCTTACAGTTCTCTCTCTCTCTCTCAATATTATACATATATATGTAATAGTATCATTCATTAAAAACTATCTTTATGAAATAAGTGTTACTACATTATGGAAAATGCTCTTAATATATTAAGTGACAAAAGCAGACTAGAATTATATGTATAATATGTATTTAAATATAAAATATACAAGTATGTGTGTGTATTTCTCAGTTATTTGTCTATATAGAACAATTTTAAAGTGTGCTATAATATTAACAGTGTATATTTCGGGTTGGTGGTGTTATAGTTTCTTTATACTTATTTTTTTTTTTACATTAAAAAATCTATCTTCAATGAGTATGTAATCCTTTATCATTAGAAATTTAGGTTTTAAATTCCTGACCTAATATTTTTGAAAGGTTTTATTTTGCTCAGCCTGGCCTGAACCCTCTCACAGTCCGTGACTCCTCTTGCAGTCTGCAGTTTGGGGCTCTTGCAGTCCGGGACCCCTCACTCCTTACCACCCATCTGCAGTGGAGGTGGGAGAGGCTCCCAAACCTGCCGCTGCGCTTGCCAGCTGTGAGCCCAGCTTCTGGCTGAGAGGCACTCCCCCTGTGGGAGCACACTGACCACCAGAGGGGCAGCTCCTGCATTGAGTGTCTGCCCTCTGGTGGTCAGTGTGCATCATAGCAACTGGTCGTTCCACCATTTGGTCAATTTGCATATTAGAGTTTTATTATATAGAATTAGTCAGGACTGCAGGGTGAGAGAGTATCAAACTAGAGTCCAAAGATGTTTTACTGGTCATTTAATCTAATCTGTAAAATGGGGATAATTATATCTACTTCACAGGGCTATTGTGTGAATGAAATAAAAAATATAAAATTCCTTTGTAACTCTAAATCTTGATAAAGGTGTTAGGTGGTATTATAATGTTGATAAAGTCCTATGGCCTAAAAGAGGTGGGAGAACCCTGAGGATAACATACCTTTGTACTGAGAAGCTTTAGGTTGAGAGAGGAGAGAGATCAAACTGTCAAGAGAAAAGTGAGAGCTTTTATCCCCCCAATACTTAAGGGAAACAATCACATGCCTGACCCCACTTCTCCTGTTCCTCTATATATCCCATAAATGCCTCAATGTTCCCCCTTCAGATTAAATCATCAGCTATCTCTTAAGCAGCCCATGCCAGAGGCAGCTTGTAGTGCATGGACAGGATCTAGTGTATTTTAAGGCAATGGCAGGGTTGTTTCACATTCCCTGCAGAGTGACAAGAAAACCTATGTAGGGCCCTAACTGGTTTGGCTCAGCGGATAGAGCGTCAGCCTGCGGACTGAAGGGTACCAGGTTCGATTCCGGTCAAGGGCATGTACCTTGGTTGCAGGCACATCCCCAGTGCAGGAGGCAGCTGATTGATGTTTCTCTCTCATCAATGTCTCTAACTCTCTATCGCTCTCCCTTCCTCTCTGTAAAAAATCAATAAAATATATTTTTTAAAAAAAGAAAAAGAAAACCCATGTAGGAATGTAGCCAACTAGCCCCTGTCTAGTCTCAAAGCAGAAAGGGGCTATTCCCACTCTGGATGATTAGAGTTTGTTATGAAAAGATGACTTTTAACTGGGATCATTTTTATTGAGCTTTATCCTCTGCAACGCTTTCTTTTTTTTTTAAATATATTTTATTGATTTTTTACAGAGAGGAAGGGAGAGAGATAGAGAGTTAGAAACATCAATGAGAGAGAAACATCGATCAGCTGCCTCCTGCACACCCCCCACTGGGGATGTGCCTGCAACCCAGGTACATGCCCTTGACCGGAATTGAACGTGGGACCCTTCAGTCCGCAGGCCGACGCTCTATCCACTGAGCCAAACCGGTTTCGGCTGCAAGGCTTTCTTAATATTTCGGGGTCTCACACATTCTATGGAAATTAACATTTCAAACAAAGCAATGATTTTTTAAATTATTAAGAGGTATCAGCCCACCTGGCGTACCTCAGTGGTTAAGCGTCAACCTATGAACCAGGAGATCATGGTTTGATTCCCGGTCAGGGCCCATATCCAGTGCAGGAGGCAACCGATCAATGATTCTCTCCCATCATTGATGTTTCTATCTCTCTCTCCCTTTTCCTTCCTCTTTGAAATCAATAAAAATATATATTTAAAATGAAGTAAAAAGTAATACAGACCTATGGTAATTTCACAAAAGAGAAATGAAAATGTATGTTCACACAAAAACCTGCAATGAACATTTATAGCTGCTTTATACATAAAACTGGAAATAAATGTTCTTTAACTGGTAAGTAGATAAAGAACCTGTGATACACTCATATAATGGGATACTACCCAGCTATAAAAAGGAATGAGCTCTTGATAAACACAACAACATGGATAACTCTCAAATGCATTATGCTTACTAGGGAAACCAGATTCAAAAAGCTGCATATTGTATTATTCCAATATATAACATTCTGGAAAAGGAAAACTATAGTGGAGAACAACTCAGTAGTATCCAGAAGATGGGATGAGGGAGAGTTGACTGCAAAGAGACAGTGAGAGGGAATATTGGGGGGGGGGGGGGGGGTTATGGCACTATTCTTGATTATGATGGTTATATGAATATGTACTTGTCAAAATGTATAGAATATAAGCCAAAAAGTGAATTTTACTACATAAAACTCAAAAGTAAATGCATAAAAATGAAGTCACAAGCCTATGGTACATTCAAACAATACACAGGAATTCAGCAAAAAGTCTCCCTCTCAGATCTTTGTGGTGATAGAATAATGGTTCTGTATTTTGATTGCAGTGATGGTTATATAAATCTATCTGTGTGATAAAATGACATAGAATTATACACACATTATACCAGTATCAATTTCCTGCTTTTGGTATCTATATATATAAAAGCTGAGTGACCAAATGGTGTAACGACCAGAACGACCAGTGGCTATGATGCACACTGCAGCAGCCAACCAGCCTGATCCGGGCCCTGATCAGCCCCACCTCCAAGCCCCCCTCCCCTCCCCCGCTCTCTGCCAGCCTGGTCCTATGGGCCCCCATGGGGCAAGCCACTGGACCCCACCCATGCACGAATTCATGCACTGGGCCTCTAGTTATGCTATAGTTAAGATATAAACATTGGGGGAAACTGGGTAAAGGGTACTTGGAATCTCTGCTTTATCTTTGCAACTTGCTGTGTGTGTGTGTGTGTGTGTGTGTGCACTTTAAGTATCTCTCAACCAAACTTCCAGACTCTAGTCCTGTTCCCCTCTGGGGAACATTACAAATTTCTTTTATACCCTCTGTATATTAAATCTAATATATATGTTTATGTGTAATATAAGTTTATACACAAATACTTTTAACACGAACAGTAGCATATTACACACATCGTTCTGCACCTTGCCATTTTTCAACTAACTCTTACTTTGGAGACTTTTCCGTATCACAATCACAAGGATCCATGTTATTCTTTTTTCCTGCTGCATAGTATTCCATCACACAGTAGTATCATGACTTATTTCAACAGTTTCTCACTGATGGACCTTCCAGTCTTAAGAAAGAATTGAATGTAAGTCATTTAGAAAATTTCAAACAGGAAAGATGAGCTGGAGTTGAGACCAAACATAATGTTTTACAGATTCAAGACTTGCCTCCAGAATATATTTTTACCAGAAGGGGGAATGCTAGCAGGAGGAGAAGCAACACGAGGGGAAATTTCCCTGGCCAATGGCGAAGAAGAGGGGCCGGCGGGGGAATTACTGCCGGGTAGGAGTTCGCTAAGGTGCTGCCTGCTGCTTAAGCAGGAGGCCCTGCTCCCAGCCAAGCTTTCCCTAGGCTGCAGTTCAGATATACCAGAGTGAGTCAGGGTTATGCACCGTGCAGTGATGCGTGGCCATGTCCAGCCTCCTGCTGGGACATCCTGCCCTGACAGGGTCCGAACCCCCACCGCCTCCAGCCCACGCGCGCAGGGAGCGTGCACGTGGTGACCTGCCCGGGACCGGTTCCAGGCGCTGGCTCCTCCTCCCTCAGGCGCTCGCTCTTCTTTCTGCAGTATCACGTGCAGCCGCGCCGGGTGCAGGATGGCGGCAGCGGCAGCTGCAGTGGGTGTCAGACTCCGAGACTGCTGCAGCCGGGGCGCCGTGCTCCTGCTCTTCTTCTCCCTGTCCCCTCGGCCCCCGGCCGCCGCCGCCTGGCTGCTGGGCCTAAGGCCCGAGGACACCGCCGGAGGCCGCGTGTCCCTGGAGGGGGGCACCCTCCGCGCGGCAGAAGGCACCAGCTTCCTCCTGCGTGTCTATTTCCAGCCCGGGCCCGCAGCCCCCGCGGCGCTGGTGCCCGT